CCACCTACCAGGAAGGGGCTCTGATGCTAGGATCTGATGCTAGGATTCCCTCGTTGGGGCCCCTGTGAAGCCTCTGCCATCCCACACCACCACCACACCAAAAGGAGTGAGCGGACTTGCAGCAAATCCACTGCCCCAACCCAGATGCCCGCAGGCACAGCCCAACATCATGGAATCCTTTTTGCCTTTTCTCTCTGCCTTTTCTCCCTTCCTCCCTCTTGCTCTCCTTCTTTCTCAGTGTGTCTTTTTCTCAAACTGCAGCTTCTGTGTCTCACAAAGCAACAGGCATAGAATTGCATGTCCAATCTCACTCACCATCCATTCCACACAGCCACTCCAATCATCCATTACTTCAAGCAGCGCCTCTACCAACCACACATACGTAAACGAATCGCACTCAACAATATTACAACCCACATATAAAGGGTCACTGCCAAGCATGCACATATAAGATACACTCCTAATCTGAAGTAGTAATGGATTCATGCTCCACTCCCACTGTGTTGAACCAAAGGCGGACTGCAAACTCCATCTTGGTGGTCAAGATAATCCCACAATTAATTGAGCTCATATATGTTTATATTCACTTGCTTTGATATAAGCTAATTGGCTTATATAAGGCTGATCGCCGAAGAATTGATGCTTTTGAATTATGGTGCTGGAGGAGACTCTTGAGAGTCCCATGGACTGCAAGAAGAACAAACCTATCCATTCTTAAGGAAATCAGCCCTAAGTGCTCACTGGAAGGACAGATCCTGAAGCTGAGGCTCCAATACTTTGGCCATCTCATGAGAAGAGAAGACTCCCTGGAAAAGACCCTGATGTTGGGAAAGATGGCGGGTACAAGGAGAAGGGGACGACCGAGGATGAGATGGTTGGATAGTGTTCTTGAAGCTACCAGCATGAGTTTGACCAAACTGCGGGAGGCAGTGGAAGACAGGAGTGCCTGGCGTGCTCTGGTCCATGGGGTCACGAAGAGTCGGACATGACTAAACGACTAAACAACAACATATGTTATCCCTATCTGTGGGCTTGGGATGTTGGGCTCTGAGCCCAGAAAGTGGAACTATCTGTACGATTTGGGTATTTTTCACCTATGCCCTCATCTGTTCAGGTAAAATGACATATGCTGCTTTGTGTATAAAGAATGTATGCATGTTTGCTTGGGCACAAACAAGCCGTCCCCTTGCTGCGGTGTCCGTCCCACGTCTGCAAAAGCTAGGAGAACTGGCAGACTGCTTTATTGTCTACATGTTTTGAAATACATGTCTACATGTCTACATGTTTTGAAATAAAGCACTAGAAGTGGCCATTCTGATGTTTTGGGCATCCTTGTTTGGTATCCCTGCATCCAACCATCCCAATGAGCCTTCTGTTTGGCCTATGGTTCAGGACACCCATTGGACCGTCTAATACTCTGCTCCCATCCCTTACCTGAGAGGGGCCCAGATCTATAACAGAGCAGGTGCTCATGCTGGAAGTTATAGATCTATTTCCATCCACTCTTAGCTACAGAATCATAACATGCATACTATTGCACAACCTTAACACATGATGAAGGAACAGCTAGAACTGGTAGCAGACAGAAACATCAACCACACACTCAAGTTGGGGTATTATATAGGATTATATTACATTGCTACATGTTTAACAAATATTGTACAATGGCTAAATAAAGGAGAAATGACACCTGTTCAAATATTTATTCAAAATCATGACAAAATGCCTCTTTAAAATCTACCTTGGGCATACGATGAAACACATTAAGAGATAAATCATTTAATAAAACCCAGCTTATTTAATTGGCATGACAAATATAAGACAATGGAACAAATATAAGAAAACCTTCTCACCTGATGTGTAGCATCGTCAATCATTTCTAAATAATGTTAATTTTCAGCTCCCTGGCAACATAGAATTGAGGCCTGAGTATAATATTACCACAGTATGTGGTATAACAAAAAAAGAGTCAATATTCCAGCTAAGAAGCTTTCTGATTAAAAATACTAATGAAAAAGCAGAATTAGAGCTGAAATGAAAAGTTAATCACAAAGGAAGAAATGTGTGTGTAATCAATACTTGATTTAGTTGATAAAAGAAATTTATTTAAACAGAAATGGCAAAGAAAGAAAGAAAGAAAGAAAGAAAGAAAGAAAGAAAGAACGAACGAACATTATCTATTCGGAATCTAATCCCATATCTGTTGACAAAAATACAGTGGTACCTCGGTTTTTTAGTGTCTTGGAAGCCAAACGTTTCAGAACCTGAATGCTGAAAACCGGGAAGTAATTGCTTCCGTTTTTGAATGCGCCTCAGAAGTGTTTTTCAATTTTTCCAATTGAACTTGCTGCCAGCCCTTTGTGCCTTGGTTTTTGAACATTTCGGAAATCGAAAGGTCTTCTGGAACGGATTACGTTCGAGAACCGAGGTACCACTTTATATCCAAATTTTAGCAAAATGTGCTGGAAATGGGGGAGAGGCAAATATTGCACATTATGTATACATATGGTGGACATTGTGGAATGATCAAAAGCTACACACACACAGAGTGGGTTTTTTTCCTGGGGGGATGCATAACCCAAAGCATTTTGTGAATCTTCGTACTTTTGTCCATTTACTATATATATTTTCCCCGATTTGAACTATAAAATGGTGGTTTTCTTGAGTCAAAATGAGAGTACCCCTAAACATTTTTAAAGAAAAAAAAGTAGTGTGTGTGTGTGTGTGTGTGTGTGTGTTTGTGTGTGTGTGTAGGACATTACAGGAAAATCCTTGCAGAGCTACAATTCCCAACACCCTTTACAAACTACAGTTCCCAGGATTCTTTGAGGCATGAGGTATTTTAAATGGATGGTGTGTACATTCTCTTAGACAGGCTTGCATCTCACCACTGCTATTCTTATTAAGCTCTGACTGCCTGACTTTAAGAAGTGCAGGAGCCTGTAAAATAATTATCCTACTAAACTCATTAACTTTCTCTTGTCATTGCTGCAATGAATAATGCACCAAGCCCCTTATGCAAAATGCATGCTCAGAACATTACAATTAAAAATCCATAAGTATTTAAAAGCTTAGAAATGGACAGGAGTGGTCATCTCCATCAATATTCCAGCCCTATTACACAATCTGTGCTAAGGACATGTTTCACAAAATGCTCCTATTTATGACTCCTGGGATGGCTGCTACATTCTTCCATCACACCTGTCAGCAGGGAAGCACTGCAAGAAAGCATTCATCAGCACTTCTCTGTGATGAGTAAGCAAAAAGCTCAAACTATACACAGCAGATGTTCTACACTGCGCCAGGGCCAGCTCACAACATTGGGACCCCAATGACACAGATCCCACAGCGTGTAGCTATCCCAGTTTGATCCCCTCACCCTGCTCTCTCTCTTGGAATCGATGGTACCTCTGCGCCTACAGAGCAGAAGAAACATAAGGATCTAAGAGTGTGGCTATTTGGGAATGGGAATGAAAAGATGCAGCTGCTAGATGCCTTTGCAAACCTGCGCTCAAGCAAAGCAGGCAAGATGGAATGGAGAATGGTGAATGAAAGAGTAGATTGCACCCAGCAAGACAAGAGTAGGCAGAAAGTTCCACTGTTGCACAAGGAGACAGAGGGTTTCAACAATGTCCATATTTGGTGTGTGTGTTTGGAATGACAATGCCCAGTTTAATGCCCCCAACCCCCAACCCCCCCCCCATATTTGTAGCTGCAGTCCTAAATGTCATTCAAAACCCACAGAACACAAAGAAACTTACTTTTGATCTGAGAAAACTTACTGTGTTGCAGTTATACTTTTAATTTCTCTCTCCCAACCCTAGCCCATCACATCCTTTGGATGAGCATGGAGAATGCCACAAGCATTACAACCTAACCATGCTCTTCTTCCAGTGTTGTGGGCCCCATTCTGACATGCATCAAGTGGAATGGAAGTTCACACACTAGTGCGGCGTGCATGTGGGTATTGGAAGTTTGTGGCTACAGTCAGTTATGTGATATCTCCTCCTCTGCACCCACAACCCCAATAATCACCTTGTATAGGAGGAGGAAGCCAGTTATACAGGTGGATTGATTTACCAAGGATGTTTTGGGACTGGGATGTTGGTGTGCTTGACTGTGGTGTTAAGTAATGCAATGTAGTGGCGGAGCTTCATGCTCTGGCACCGGGGGGCGGAGAGCAGGTGGAGGCGGGGCTGGCACGCATTCTGGGGGCGTGGCGCATCGCCTGTAGGGCCGTGGCGCCCAGCGCGGGCAGGGGCCAGCCACGATGGCACCCCGCCAGGATCACGCTGCCTGGGGCGGTGCGCTCCCTCCGCATGCCTCTTCCTCCGCCAGTGATGCAATGAGGCCTTTTAGTAAGAATATCCTTGTCATTTTAAATCTCAACATGTTCTAATCCAATAACACCTAGCACATACTCACATAGCTTGCCATGAACACTAGCAAGTTCTGAGTTTTCATTTTCAAAAGACAAACTTTGAAAGAACTGCCTGAGGTAAGTAATAGGGAAGAAGAAGAATCAAGAATAGAAAAAGATCTCCAAAACATACACAAGTGTTCAGAGAGAGAGAGAGAGAGATATTAATAAAGTCTGTTCCACTGAAAACAAGCAAAATCATATTGAGTAGGTGACTGACTGACTGTCTATCTATCTTCCCACCCATCTATCTATATGTTAAAAAGCTTTGTTATGATAGTGTATCACGGCTCACAGATGGTAACATTTTTGATAAATGTTACACAAAGTGCTGAACAGCTAAATTGATCTGCTAAATCTGCATACGTGTTATATTCATTAATTTTTTTTAAGAGTGGGACCCACACTAAAAACCTGCACTGGGACCATCATCATCTACTTCCTCTCCTCTTCTTTGGCATTTATTGCCGACATTCTCCCCCCAATAAAATAAAATAAAAGATAACAGAATGAGGATTTGACAGACACTACCAGTTCGGGCTGCCTCTCAGAGCTGAGAGTGGGCTGGCACCAGCATCTTATGAGTCACTTCCTCTGCTCTCCCAATAATCAGTCCCGCCCACCTGCTCAGCACCCCAACATTGCCAAGGCTTCCCACAGTGCAATCTCTGCCAGCTTTCGCCCTGAATCTCTCGACTCAGGTGAGGGAAGATGTTCACACTAGCTTCCTCCTCCCTCGTCATTTGCATACTACATTCGACATGCACAACCTGTAATTCTTGAGGAGGGAATTTTTAGAGGCTGGTTAATAAATATCCTATATATTGGCACCTGCACTCCTGCTGTTAGGAGAATTCCTGGGTGATGCCATCACCTGTAAAACAGCAAAGTCTAATGAGGAAGACTTCATCTAGCACCCTCGTGTATGGTTTACCCATACCATCACAAGGTATAATATTTGAAGACAAACGTGGAAAAATATCAGCCCCTCTATGGTGCAACTGCTGGATTGGACTGGCTAGTTGAATCTGGCCCCTAGACATCAATATGGGATCAGGTAAGCCTGTTTTTATATGCCTGTTGTCTTTGTCCATGGAGTTTTCTTGGCAGGGATACTGGAGTGGCTTGCCGGTTCCTGCTCCAGGTGGATCACGTTTGGTCAAAACTCTCCAATATATTTTTTTTAATTATGGTGCTGGAGGAGACTCTTGAGAGTCCCATGGACTGCAAGAAGATCAAACCTCTCCATTCTTAAGGAAATCAGCCCTGAGTGCTCACTGGAAGGACAGATCCTGAAGCTGAGACTCCAATACTTTGGCCACCTCATGAGAAGAGAAGACTCCCTGGAAAAAACCCTGATGTTGGGAAAGATGGATGGCACAAGGAGAAGGGGACGACAGAGGATGAGATGGTTGGACAGTGTTCTCGAAGCTACCAGCATAAGTTTGACCAAACTACGGGAGGCAGTGGAAGACAGGAGTGCCTGGCGTGCTCTGGTCCATGGGGTCATGAAGAGTCGGACACGACTAAATGACTAAACAACAACAAGCCTGTTTTTTAAAATGCAGTCAAACCCAGATCAAAACATGCAGGTTTATTGCACCAATATGTTGGGTTTGTGGTTTGCCATATGCCAAAAACAGAAAAATTAGAACTCAAGAAATCAAAATCAAAATACTTGCCTTAACACCATATGCTGGTATGTACTGATTGCATAATAACTCCTGGAGGTCTATGGCAAAGAGCAGTGAGAAATCAAAGCCCCACTCTGCCCTTTTGGCAGAAAGTGCAGTTTCAGGAGTTCAGAGTACAGCTTTTGCTGCTGCTTCTAGACTTAAAAATAAAATAAAATACCTTGACGCAACCTTGACTGTATTCTGGATGGAAAATTAGCCTGGGAACTTGCCTAGGGGTGCATAAAGTGATGCAACAGCATAGAACAAAGGCGAAGAGGGAATGCACATTGTTCTGCTGAAGTTCTAGAAGCTCAAAGAGGGAAGTTTCTCTCCCTTTGCCCGGACGCAAGATCATGGGATGACTTGGACATGTAAAAAGAGCTATTCCGTATCAAACACATAATAGAGAGCTTCCATATCAGCTGTCATCACCTTAGACACAACTGTTTTTTAACAGGCATGTTCAATTGTCAGTCACTGACTGATAAGACATGTACATATATTTTTGGGGGGAGATGCAATGCAAAAGAGACCATGTCCATCTCGTGGCTGGACTGCAGTGGCCAGAGTCCTCTAGCCTGTATTGTTTAACTCAGGGGTAGGCAATGTAGTGCCTTCCAGATGTTGCTGGACTACAGCTCCCATCATCCTTGACCATTGGCTCTGCTGCCTGGGGCTGATGGGAACTGGCATCCAACAACATCTGGAAGGCACATGTTTGCTCCCCCTGGTCTAATTAGTTGCAGCTTTCCAGCAGAGCTCTTTCTAGTCACCTGCCCTCTGGGGCTTTTCATTGGAGATGCCAGAGACTGAGCCAAGGATCTCCTGCATGAATTCTGCCAGGGTCCTTTCATGTGCCAGCCTATGTGGAAGGGGGAAAGGAGATTTCAGCAGATGCAGATTGCCCTACAGTGATGAGAAAAACAGCGTAGGCTCAAATTGCTTCTTTCGCACCATTATTAATAGACACAGGAGTTCCTGTGTATCTGGACACCTTAAGAATGTGTGAATCAGCCCAGGGTCTACAGCGTTTGGACCTGTAAATCTTAATTATAAACGTTGTTCTAGGCTGGGGAAAGCTTGTAGTCCAGCTCAAGTCCTTGTTTCCTATCCACAGGGGAGGTCGATTAATAACTTCCAGGAATAGTCGAGTAAAAATAATTGGGACAGTCTGGAGAGCGGACTGTGTTTGGTTCTGGAGGGGAAATGGTAAAGTTCTCGAAAAGCCTTCAGAACTTTAAAGTGGAATATTTAGTTTATGAACTGGAAAAAGCCCTTGTTCATTTCCCTTGCCAATGTGCTGCTGGAAATATTTATAGGTATCATGGATGAACAATCAGGAAAACAATGAGCACAAGCTTCTCATTTATAACCATTCTGCATGGCCTAATTAAGAAACATTAAACATTTAAACACCAGCCCACTTGATTTGAGGCTGTCATTAAAAAAAAAAAAGTTAGTAAGTATGATCTGTGAGCATGCAATCTGAACCTTACTCCCCCCCCGATTTCTGATACTTCTAAATTCATGATAATCCTGCCCCTGCTTCAGGTGAGATGCCTAATCTATGGTGCTCCAAGGATATTGCCCATTTTGAAGAATGCTGGGACTGAGTCACCTTCATGAGACCCCTTGACACAAAGAATTTCAGTGGGCCTACACAAAATTTGAGGATATAGCTGGGTCAGGTATACAGAACTATATTTTTCAAGACCTACATTATTTTTATGATTGCTAGCTGTTCTAAAATGTTTTAGACATTGTTTTAATGTTGTAACCTGCCCTGGGACCTTATGATGAAGGGTAGGTAATAAATAAAATGGTGGCAGCAGCAACAATGTAGTATCTGGCTAATACCCAGAAGATTTTAACAACCTGACTGTAGTGGAAATAAAACTAATCCCTTCCCGCTTCTTCCTGCCTGCACCAAAGCCAACCATTACATACCAGTGCTGCCTTTTGCCTAACCTGATAGGAGTCCTAGTGGCATTCTTCTGTGGTTCATCCTTGCAGCTTCCCCAGTGTGCTCAGGACCACAATACCTCCAGGACTGCCTCTGCCCATATGAACCAACCCAGACCTGCAATCATCATGCGAGGTCTTTCTTTGCGTGCTTCCTCCATGAGAAGTCTGGAGGGTGGTGTCACAAACATGGGCATTTTCTGCAGTGACTCGCTGCTTGTGGAATGCTCTCCCCAGGGAGGCTCACCCAACACCTTTGTTACATACCTTTCGGTACCTGTCAAAAACTTCTCCCAGACCTTTGGCTAATTAAACAATCTATGGGGTGGGTGGGTGGAAGTTACTGTTTTTGTTTGTCGCTGTAGTATGTATTTTTGTGGATGGGGGTTTATATTGTAAACAGCCCTGTGATCCTCAGGTGAAGGGCAGTATAGAAATTTAATTAATATATATATATATGATATAGTTGTTTTTCCTTCCAATTACTCATACCACATTTGTCTTCGATACCTGCCCACTTACTCTGTGACACTGCTATGCACTGCTTATAGGCTCAGTCTAGTCTTCACCTAGATCCCCATCCTGGTTTCCTTCTCTGTACTCAGGCCTTTTCCACACTTCCAGTCTCATAGGCTCCACTCGCATTCACTGCTTGCCACCTTTTCTCCCGAGGAATGATGCTTTGATCATCACGGCATCCAACAAAAAGTCAGCTGCTATGTGCTGGTTTCATCCCTGCGCCTCTGATCCTCCCCCACTAGCCACATCTGAATGCTCTCCACATACCTTCACCTTTGTGGTTAGTGTTGGAATTCAGTAAGACTTTAATTGGACCGGCCTCAAATTGCCCTCCTCTGCCAGAGACCTTAAGATTTTAAACTCTCATATTTCTGGACTGAATATAAAGCAATCTGTTGGAGGGCCAACCAAGCCCTGCTCAATCAGGGAAGTTCTTTAAAATAATAATAATAATAATAAATCAGTTACCAGTGGGGGAGAAATTCAATTCAGTTCACTTTTAAAGGCAAATTTACAAAATCAGTACCTTTCAAAACAATCCATGAACTGAAACAGCTATCCTTCAAAATTTGTATGCCTCTGAATTTTGCAATGCAGTTCTCCAGCCAAGCAATGTCCATAACAATGCATATACTAGGGCGAAGTATGCATATAAATGCATATATTAGTGAAGACGACATACAAAACCACATTATTGGGGGAAATGGCTGAAGAGGCATCTTTTGCCCTGGCATTCACACAGGGTCAGTGCAGGAAAAGTTAGCTTTGTATCAGGACATCAGTCTTCAGTCTGATTCCTGTTGCGGGCTCAGGAAAAGTGCTTACAAGGTTTTGGCAGTACCCAGAGCAGTGGCAGGCAGGCAGGCAGGCAGATGATGAGAGTTACTAGTGCAGGGTCTCTAGCCCAGAAGCCAAATGCTTAGGAGCAGGTGGCCAAAGAATCCAAGCTCAAAGGCCTTTGGCACAAGGATTTCTCTGGGTCAAATATCAGTCTTCCTGGTCCCTCCCCAAGTCACGTGTCCTTTGAGCCCTTGAAATGCATGCATGCCTTAGTTTCCTGCAAGGTCTTCTTATCCCTAGTTAGCTGATCAAAAGGTTCATGGCCATTCTGATTACAGTGGTACCTCTGGATGCAAACGAGATCCGTTCTGGAGCCCCGTTTGCATCCTGAAGCAAACGCAACCTGCGTCTGCACGAGTCGCAATTCGCCGTTTCTGTGCATGCGTGTGACATCATTTTGAGTGTCTGCGCATGTGCGAGCGGCGAAACCCAGAAGTAATGCGTTCCGTTACTTCCGGGTCGCCGCAGAGCACAACCCGAAAACGTTCAACCTGAAGCAACTTTAACCCGAGGTATGACTGTACCAGGGTTTAGAGAAGCGCATGCAGAAAAGAATGCACGTTGATGGAGTCAAGTAACATTTATTTCGGAGGGATAGGAGAGGAATGGTGTGTCTTGTTTCACAAATGAGAAGTGACACTTCACGTATAGAGGAAGAGCACTAATCTATATCTTGGAGGCAAAGCTTCTCTCTGTTCCCTTGACTCCTTCCTTCAACTACAGCATCCTTCTCTTATTTCAGCATATCTTAACTGCACAGTGGCCTTTGCCAATATGCCTTCGAGGTACCATGGAACTGTTGAGAAAGTGTTAGAAGAACAGGATGCATAGCTAATTAAAGCGAATCCCAGGCTTGTTCACCAACTCCCCCACCAGTTTTGATGGGTCAAGGAGCCAGTGGTTAGTTTTCAAAAACATCCATCACCACATCAGGTATGTCTAGCCATGTCTAAACAACACAAAGGGCACCTCTTGACTGTCCTACCTTGTAAAGGTGGGAGAACTTTTGCCTCTTCTTTAACAACAGGGAAGAGGTGTGTGTGTGTGTGTCTCCTCCCATGTGTCAGTGTGATTGGATGCTGACCACAACAGTGCAATATTTCTTATCATCCCTCATGTTGTGGGACCATTCTGCCTCAGACTGCTGGATCCTGTCCTAACCAAAGTGGTCTTCTTCCTTGCTCTCAGGGGGAAACCATGCAGAAGATGAAGGGCGCATCCTCAGTTTGTTGGCATTCCAAAATAGTCAAGGGCAGAAGCTGTGGGTCCACCAGTTTTGCCGCCATCAACGGAAGCTGGTCCAACAAAAGTAACTGCTTTTCTTAAGATGTATCTGCGATGGGAAGAAGCAACTGTTGCATGCATGGATGTGCAACCTAGAAGGGCAACATCTGCTAAAGCATCAGATCACTGGATCAGACAGTGGGATAACCAATTTTGAACATTGACTTCAAAGACTGATTTCTGTAATTAAAAGCTAGGAGGCTTCTGCTTTCAATTTGGGGGGCGTGCATGGCGGGCGGGGGAAGTTGGAAGATGGCGTGGCGGCTGCGCTCTGTAATTACGGCTCGGAGATGATTTCTCTAAGGACTCAAAATTAAAACCCATCTCTCATTTGAAGCTGACATGCACCATCAGCTGCATCTTCAGTATAACATCTCTGCCTCGCCCGTTGCTTAAAGGCCTTGTTGGGACGGCATGTTGCTATTTGGAGCAGTGGGTGCTCCAGCTGCTCCATTGTGCTGGGAGATGGCCATCACCCTTGGATCTGATCTGAAAGCAGCTGCTTGCGTTTCAGAGCCCCGCTAGAGCACATCACGTAGCCCAGCTTGGGCATAATCACAAGGAGGTGCTATTTTTAAATGTGCAGTTGATCATTCATAGTGTGAGGTTTGTTTCCCTGGGCAGCAAAAATGGGGGGGGGGGAGATGATATCTGGACCAGCCAATTAACTTAACGAAGCTGGTGGAGTTGGTTTTGAGCAACCTCAAGGGAACTAACAAAAAAAGAAGTCAATAACTGGTTCTGCAGCATGATTTTCAAGCCATTCCAAATTCCATGAAAGAGAGACTCCACCTACAATCAGGTCAGAGAGGGATGGAGAAATGATGGGCATCAGAAAATAATATATAAGACAAATGGAGGTGTATTGATTTCTCCTGGATGCAAGTAAGCACAGCACAGGCAGATTTGTTCAACACTTCTTGAAAGAACAAACCATTTAGTACTCTGAAATCCCAACAGATTGCTTTTATGTGTCATGTTCCTGTGTGTGGATTAGTCTGGATTTATAGAAGTATGGTGTTTCATATGACTCCATGCTTCTCAAAGAAGAAGGAAATTCAGGGAGATGTTGCTTACCTCTCAGAGTTACAGTTCTCAGAATCATTAACCAACTTCAGTTCCCAGGATTCTTTGGGGGAAAGGCATTCACTTTAAATGTATGCTGCTTATGTGACCACTGGCAGTCTCCAGCAGTTATCCTTGTATCCATTAACCCTCTCCTGTCCACTTTGCAATCTGCCCCCAATAGTGTGGGGAGGGGCAGGAAACTGAGGAGCTCTCTCATATCCATACTCTGTTTCACCATCTCAGTTCAGGAAGACATACATGAGGTAATCTCATTTGATCTTCACAACAACCCTCCGAGGAAGGTTAGGCTGAAAGAGAGGGGCTGGCTAGACCACTGTCACCCACTCATCTTAACTGTTGAGCAGGAATTTGAACCCGGGTATCTCTGCTTTACATCAAACACTGGAACCATACCACTGTGGCTCCCAACTAGGGGGACCAGTGGCAAAAGGAGAGAGAGGGTTTGTGCACCTTTAACAGTTGTGCAACAGAGGAGATTTCAACAGGTGTAGCTTGCCATGCATGCTATAAGTACTGAAATTTGTACTTCCAACCACACTATAAAGGTGCAGGGGTCCCCTATCCTCTTTGCCCAGCACTGAATCATGCCCGGAATGGCTGCAAAAAGTTGCCCCTATATCTTCTCACCAAGTATGGCTGTGTAGGTGCTAGTTGCCCAACACCTGTGATATCTGGTCCAACTTTAAGAGCATAAAAATTGCCTGCTGGATCAGGCCCAATGGCCCAGCTAGCACAGCATCACTGGCCAACCAGATGCCTGGGGGAAACCCACCAGCGAGGCCCTTCCTGCAGTTTCCAGAAACTGGTGTTCAGAAGCATCACTGCCTCTGTCTGTGGAGGTATATTTATTCAGTTAGAGCCTTGCACTGGTCCACTGCAGAAGGTACTCAAAGGAATAAATGCCATAGTTGGAAACATTAGTCTAAACAGCCACTCTACCAGAAATGGAAAGCTGAGGTGCACCATTTTCATCTTTTCCAGTGCTTTTTTCTGGGGGGACACAGGGGTACGCATACCCCTAAACATTTTGTGAATCTAAGTTGGGCCTCATTGAGGGGCAGTGTTTCAATATGAGTAGGAAAAGGAGAGTACCCCTAAAGATTTTTTAAGGAAAAAAAGCACTGATCTTTCCCTTCTTCTGCAGTATTGCCAGCAGTGGGTCTCTCTGTAAAAATCTGAGTCAGCCACTTGAACCAGAAATGCTGGCGCTGCAAAGGACGGTTCCTTTCCTCCACCAGGAGAAGATTAGTTGGAAAGAGGACCTTGTCAGGAATGAAAGATCTGTAGATGTTCTCCATCTTCTCCCAGCTTTTACATCTCCCCCGTAGGTGGGAGGTGGTTGGGTCATCAAAGGGCCCTGTTCCACATGGAGTGGAGAGGGGGAAATCGCTCAGATAGGAGCCTGGAACATCTCTCTGGTAACTTGTTTGTCTCCATCGTTCCCAAACCAAGTGGAGATGTTTAGGACAGGACTCACGTGTGCACACAAACACGCACACACCGACCACTGATACAGAGCTCAGAGGACACCTGCCTAAGGGCTGAATTAAACGTGATGCATCTTATGTGTCTTAGCATTTAATCTGCACTTTAAAAAACAAACAGGGAAATGGCATCAGTTGGGGATAGCAATTGATGATTATTGGCCTGCAGGCATGTGGCACCAGTGGGGGATTTTCCTGCAAAGCTAATACCAGGTTCAGAAGAGGGCTTTCCCTCAGGGCCACAGCAGGGGAGGAAAGGGTTACATTCCCTACCCCCTGCTAGCCATGAGCCTGATAATAACCTTCTCCAGCACAAAATGAAACTCAGAAAGGATGATATGAAAGGGCAGTGCAACATCCTATGGACGTTAGGACACACACACACATACACATACACACACACACACACACACACACACACACACAATTTACACTGCAGATGTGGAGTTGTGTTGACATTTTTCATATTGTCACAGGCACAGAAAAAGGTGGCTATGGCAATTGCACAATCCCATTCCTACCCCCACCTTACTATTTGGATTGCAGTGGGCATGTTTGCTGCGAAAGGAAGAAACTGAAATTCCCCCGGCAACTCGAGTTACCACTCTGAGTGCTGGGAATCCGAGTCACCTGCAATGGAAGCAGAGTACTGTGTGAGGACATCATGTGGATCTTGCATATGAACTTAATAATGGCTTTCTGTATCTCTCTCTCCCTCCCTCTCTCCCGCACGCACGCGCACACACACACATGCACACACACACACAAACCCACATTGTCTGCAATGAATCACTTCTTAATGTCATGTGTTCTCCTGACATAGAAAGCTGGTGATTTTTCAAGCTGATCCTTGTTTTGATCAATATGACGTTTTCATTCAGTGGGAAATTTCTGTTAGACTTAAATGTCACTTATGGAACGACTTGCAGAAATACTGTTACGGTTTCCTACCAGATTTTTGTGAGGTGGGCTATTGGTGTGGGTCGCCTTGAGGCAATACCTGGCTAGTGTCAAAGGACAAAGGGATATGATATGGGATGATGTTCCAGGGAAGTGTCTCCATGGAAGCTGAGAGGGTCAGGTGATCGTCAGAAAAGACGGCTCATCCAGAGTCTACCACCCTCAGCCCCAGCCAGGGGCAAAGTTTCTGTGTGTGATAAGAGGAGTGCCAAGGTGGGTTGCAACATTAAAACGTAATACTAAATACAGTTCAAAGCAACTTACAATCACAAAAATAAGGTGGGTCCTAAAAATATACAAAAGTGTCAAAAGCTGTAATTACTGCAATTGCTGTTCCCAGCTTGCCCTGGGTGTGCGATTTTTGTCTGCAATAACCCGACCTGCAGTGGCTTTCTGAAGGAGGGTGGCTAAGTAAGCTGACCATAGCAGTTTAGTTTTAAATCACTGAGGAGTGTTTAATCCCAGTAGGATCTGCTTTCCCTTATTACAGAGTAGTTGCAGCTCAAATGCATTTAGGTGGTGGTTATTGGCAGGGGTAGGGATTGATGAAGGAGAAGCTATGCATTGGGTGTGCAGTAAGTGGAAAGGAGGTTGTGGACCCTCCTTTCTTGGAGGCTTTTAAGCAGAGGTGCAATGGTCATCTGTCATGGATGTTTTAGCCGAGATTCCTGCATTGCAGGGGGTTGAACGAGGTGAGCCTCTGGGTACCTTCCAACACTACAATTCTAGGATTCTAAGAAGAAACTGAGGCAGAGGTGGGTGTTGTGGAGTACAGTGGTACCTCTAGTTACGAACTTAATTCGTTCCAGAGGTCCGTTCTTAACCTGAAACTGTTCTTAACTAGAGACGTGCTTTCGCTAATAGGGCCTCTTGCTGTCGCTGCGCTGCCGGCACACGATTTCCGTTCTCATCCTGGGGCAAAGTTCTCAACTCGAGGTAACTCTTCCAGATTAGCGGAGTTTGTAACCTGAAGTGTTTGTAACCTGAGGTGTTTGTAACTTGAGGTACCACTGTACCTCAGATTGCTGGCTGTCCCACCCCCCAATGTGAAGTTGGGGCAGGGGGATTTGGCTGCCTCTCGGCTGTACCTCCAACTATGCTCAGCCTGTTTATGTGTAAATACTACACAGCACCAAGAAGCTTCCAGCGGCCTACATAAGCTCTGCGCCCCTGGAGCTCCTCCCCATTTGAAGCAGTGGAGCGAGCGTAACAATGCAGACTATGTGAAGAAGGATGCCACTTCATTGTCACAAGTGTGTAATTGTTATGCAGAAATAGCTTGATAATATTAACCCTGCTCACTAACAGTCTTGGGGGCAATCATTTTACCTTTAAATCTTGTATATATGCACAAATAAGTGTTCACGTGAACATTTAGGTGAGTGTGGGTCAG